ACGTGATGAGCACAAATAATATGTTCCCGGAACAGTTGAGATTTGTGGGAATGACTTGCCAAAAGGCAAAGAACTGCGATTATCCTTCGGCATTAGCCCCTTACAATTTCTCCTCCTGCATAGTAAAGCACCAATCTGTCTCTCCAATGTTAATTGATTACCATTACTCTAGTACTAGACACCTTCTGCCAACCGGTCCCTCATTCTTTACGCCGACAAGGAGATCATTCTTCAACATGCAAATCGGGAAGTTCAGGCCATGCTGTATTTCTAAGATTAGTTAGTTGCTCCAAAGATTCTCAAAATAGTCGTTGACCCCGCAATGATAAGCGTAATGGTAAAGGCAATATTAACGCGATTTGACTGTACGTACTGTAAAAACGAGGAGTTGGTCTCTGTGGTGTTAATCATCGCATCATAGTTAAGCAAACATTTCTAGGTAAGCTAGGGACTTATTATTACTAAGTATCAGTGTTTACGTCACAATAAGAATTACTAAGAATGTTAATTTGTATTAGCACGAAATAGAGCACAATACAATATATATATTAATATTAGTACAGACTTGATGTCGTACCCCCTAATTTTAATATAGCCTAATTGATTACAAAAAACATATAAATTCCAACCTTCGACAGACGAGGTACCACACACCATTGTCTGGTACTCTCATTATCTCATCTCCTCACGCTCAATTTGAACATGGTTCCTGTTCCATCATCTGTAATGCGCGCTATTCCACACGAAACGCTCACGAAACTGTCAATTCAACGTCCCACTCGTGTCTCTCTCTCACATTTATATACTGTCGGTCGTCATGTGCTAGACTCCTCTTCTCAAAAAAAATATATTATACCTGCTCAGTTTCTCCATGCTGAGTTACCCATACGTCTCTCTCAAACACTCAAAATACTTCATTCATCTTTGATGCCTCAAGAATTCACCACTCTATCTACATTTAAGAAATTCACTCGACAATATTATGACTATATTAGCATTCTTATGAGTATATCTAAGCCAGAAAACGAAACAAAGGAAGAGGAATATACTAAAGTTTTGAGATTGCTGAAAAAAGAGCACAGGATAAACTTGGTAACATTGAGACAAGCATTCAGAGAAATAATAGATTTGAATGGGATAGAAAAGATCAAGCACTTGGATACGGAAGAGATATGGGATAGATTTTATGCTATTACTTTAGGAACCCGGTTACTTATGGCCCAACACTTAGCCTTACATGACGAAAAGAAAAATTTAGTCACGAGGATTGCCCCAAAGGATGTGGCTGAGCGAGCGATTAAAGACACAAGAAACTATTGTGAAAAATTGTACAAGTAAGTCTAACTAAACGTTGCAGTGAAGAATCAATCAACTGATAGTATTAAACCGACTCGCCATTTTTTCAACTGGCTCATACAGCCGTCCAGTGCCCGAAATTCAATTATTTACAACAGATCCTACTGCTACAACCATTCATATCGAAGAGCACCTTCACAGTATTTTATGCGAACTGCTCAGAAACTCTATTCGTACTACGATACGACACCATTCTCCTGAATTCTCACCTTCTGACCCATCATCTTCTATACCTTCTCAATCTCGCGGGTTACTCTTTTCTTCCTTTCTCACTTCATCTTCTGCGCAATCACCAAAACCAAACTCTAGTCTTCCACCAATATCCATATTAATAGCCCAGGGGGCACAGGATATAACAATAAAAATATCAGATCACGGAGGTGGCATGCCAATGTCTGCTATGGATGACGCTTGGAGTTACTTCGTGTATGATGATGAAGGCCAGTTGGAGGCAGATGTAAAAGAAAAAGAGCATGTAGAGAGACCGTTTGATTGCGGTGTTGGCGTTAGTTTACCGTTTGCTAGGGTTACTGCACGATGTAAGTGTTTGCAAGCTGATAGATAAGGGTAAAGCATGGGATCTTTGCTAACAATTTACGTTGACCTTTCCCTGTTGATTAGATTTTGGTGGTGATCTTTCTTTTGTGTCAATGGAAGGCCACGGTACAGACACATTCCTCTCCCTATACCGTGATGATACTTGCTTGGAAGCATTCCCGGAATCGCATTCTTCTTTAGACGATTCTTTATTGCCCCTTAAACGGACGGATGCTGCATAGGAGACACTTTGATATAGATACTCTTGTCTGAATATAATTCTGTTAAATTAATTATCTTCTCTTTGTACATTCTTTTTTTTTTCTTTGTAATTTAAATTATACAAATGCTCTGGGGTATTGAGACGGATTAATATAAAGTCCCTTATACGTAACATGCATTTACTCATGTTTTTTAGAGTTGGCCATTACCGAGAATGAATACTCCAAAAAAGAATCGCTTATGAATGTAGCATTTTGTAGAGGATTATCGAGGAAATTGTTACTTAATATTATTTGTGATAACTAGGATGACAACTGAGGAGGGAACTTTCCCGATAATGTTGGAATTTAGTGTATATAAAAATAAGTATCATAATGGCAGTCATTTCAAAATCATCTTTTTTTTTTTATTATAAGAGTTGTGATTCCATTACATAGACAAAGATAAAGATAAAATAAAAAGAATATTGATGATGTCAATCGACACTGATTTCTGGTTGTGCTGATAGACGGATGGCTAGCAAGTATGACAGCAGCCATGATGTGGCTGGAGAGATGTTGATTCATTAGGGACGTTGGAGGTAAAGAAGTAAAAAGGCAGTATACAGCAGTCGGTTCTGATGCTTCATTCGGTCATTAGGAATTCCGTGGACAAAGATGGTTCACGCCATTGTGAGGAGAGTGAATGATATGGACGTTGGAATGAGGAATTCTAGGGAAAAGATTATGTAGATGTTTATGGAAAAGAAGCGGTCATGTTTATAACGGAGATTCCTTCATACGGAAACGTTTTAGTAGCTTTATGGGGTTGCATTTACGCGGGTTGCATTTATGGGGGTACGTTTACAGGGCTTTCCTTAATAGGCAAGAGATTGCGTGCCTCTACAGCGCATCTATAGAACAACGAATAGCAATCGTTTCTCTTTATTATCGAAATTAAAGTATTTCTTAACCATACCTTAAAAAATAGCGCGTCAATGTTAGTTTGACGCTTACTTCAACAAACTTAGTACAATCGATAAAGTACAAATATGAGCTGGTTATTGAGAAAGAATAGCATATTACGATCAAATATCTTCGCTTTTATATCTATAGTAAATTTTTCCGTTTGTTGAATTTGAAAAGCTTTATCAATGCATATCGCACATTCTCAATCCCAATGACCTTTTAGTTTATTGGTCAGTGGACGAACTAAATCAGGAAAAACAGATGTTTGTTAACATTAAAAGGTAAACAATGCTCATTAAATTATTTGTTTTCGATATAGCGAGCTGCCATTACAGCATTCTTGTACGGATAAAATTAAGCGCTTATTTGGTCCATTTCATTTAAGAACGTATGTTACAGCGTTAGCTCACTTACTGTTGCTGTTTAAAATCTTCCTCCGCAGTCATGATTTATTGTGTGTCGACTAGTCCACTTGTCTTTACTAAACTAATTAAAGAATATTCGTCTCGATGATTAGTTATGAACTCTCGTTCCGTTATTCACGTAGTTGATCCGTGGACAGCTTATTAGCTTGATCTGATCAATGCTATTCCGTCACAGCTTAAGTGAGCCGTTTATTGGAGTGTCCAGTCTAATAATCTACTACTAAGATCAGTAGTATTTTTTTATTTCACAACATGAACAATATTACAACATGAATATTGACGATGGAGGAAGAGCTACTTATATATCTTTTTTAAAAATAGTATTATTCCCCTTCGATTCTTTAATATCTATCCTTATCAGTGTCTGAAACTCGGATAGGGAGTGAGAAGCGCGCATAATTAAAATAGGTCACTTGAGGCTTAATTGCACAACTATCGCAGTAAGGGCAGCTAAGCCTGGTAACATCCCCCGGTCGGCGAACACACCTACGCGAAAGATAAATCGCTCTCCCAAAATTCTCGACCGTAACAGTAGGGTCTAGGCAAATTCTGTACACTAGCATAAGTAAACTCTATACTAGCCCTCCTCTCAGCTCTTTGCCTTATGACAATATTATTCAGATACGTTTCATCTCCTTCATTGCTTGATGGACCATTGAGATGAAGCGCCGTTTGACTCTATCGTTCTGCTTCCACTAGTACATCAGAAACAGTAGTGTCAAAATGTGACATAAAATCGTTAAATGGATAATATGATTGTACTTACAACAGCCATATCCGATAGGGAAGCTTTCTCTCGGAGGGGGAAGCTTTGATTTAAACACTTGAAAGAGCGCTTTTTTCTTCACCCTTATATTATTCAGTTTGCTTAGTAATAGCTTCGATAAGGCTGAAATACCGGAAGGCAGCTTTTGGTAATGGACAAGAGTTGGCGACGTAGTTGACTGGCTTAAACGTTGCTCCTTCTTTGTAATACGTATCCCGGAACTTGCCCTATCGTCGTTTCAATTGGCTGTCATAATGTCATGGAGGATTTTCTAAACAAGTTCGCGAAGCAGTCCTTTCTTCACCATCAACAAACGTGGTTGTAGTTCCGTCGGCGTACTGTATGGTCGCCAATAATGATACGTAGTAGTAGTACTTTATTGTTTGATTTGATTACGTATGTGGATTGCGATGATTTGAACACTATAACGTTAACAGCGAGACTGTTAAAAAGTTTGATTTCTCAAACCATTCCAGTAATGTTACAATTCTCCAGAGATATTCAAGTTAGAACTGTTAGAAGGCCAGTCTATATATTATCCCGAAGAAAGGGTTTAGCAAGGCGGCTGGTATGTTTTGAGTCATTGTCTTGAAACCTCCTAACAAGTCTTTTTCCCGGAAGTTACGTGTTCCGCTTTTTTGTAAGTAGTGCATTGACGAATTTTTATTCCATAATCATTTTCGAAAAATTTTTTCTATTATGATGTTTATTTACTTGCTCGTCGAACAGCTTCCCGATTAATAGTCCTCAAATTTGCGCAAACTCTTCTTTTTTATTCTCAGGTACAATAACAATATTTTCGGGAATCTGTAATAACTCGTCACCTGAATTTTCTTCGCTCCCAACAGCTTCTTCAACTCCCGTAAGGAGTGGGTCGTTCTCGTATGTTGGAAATAAGTAGCTGGTTAACATAAACGATATTCGCGACATTGGTTTGCATGTTAAGTAAAAAAAAAATCATTACAGAAATTGAGCAAGACAAATTAATCATACTGAGGATCTGTCCAGAACGCATGATTCAGATCAGGAACTTTGCTAAAACAGTTCTGTTTCTCCATATGCTCCGTCAATTGAGGTAGTGTATCAAACGACGCGTTGCAAGACATACAGGAATTAATGGATGTCTTGTGACGAATGTAGTTTATTAGAGCAATCATTTTATAAAATCCAAGTCCTAATAAAGTGTGTTTATGTTACTTTGATGCATGTGAAAAAGAAAAAACAACAACACAAGTCTGCTTGTTACCCATTTCTCGTTGAACCCCGTGTAAGTCAAAGTTATGTTTTTGTTTCATATGCAGAGACGCTTCTTTAGGAGAGTTGGCTACAAGTTCACAGAATAAACAAACAGTTGGATCTGGTTCGACTATCTCATTCCAATCTTCCCATGAACTTGCCGTAAAAATAAATAGTCGAGTAATTAAAAAATCAGATCTACAATTGCCAGCATCGAAATATTGCCAGCATCGAAATATTGCCAGCACTTACTCATCTTTTCTGTCTTCGTCTGAATCATATCTCTCTCTTTCAAACGTTTCCCAATTCATTCCTGGCTCCTGTTTATTGTGTTGATTGGTTAATGAGTTGTGGATATTAATATGAGCACAGTAGCATTGACGTATTCTCACCAGGTAGTTAATAACATAAAATTGATCGTATATTCTGTTTCGCGCATTAATTTTAAAATGTTTCTTTTTGCGCATATGCTTACGAAGCACTGTAGAAGTAACAAATACTTTCTCACAATAAATACATTGTAAACTATTGGAAGCATTTACAGATGGACCTAATCAATATATAAACAGTCATCACATAAATAAAAAATATTAGTTTATGACGGAATAAATAGTTCTTACCCGGCTAATTTCTTCTCTAAAATCTCGAGAAACTCGTTAACGTTGACGAGATTATCTGCGAGACCAATATTAAAATTATGTTCATCAAACATGTGACGAAATAGTACTGCTCTACCGTGTTGAAAGATTGACAAGTTTATCTCAATTGGGATAAGCAGGGAACAGTTATAGCACAAATAAACAATACAATATCATCTATCAGTTACCTGTTCTCGCAAATGTTTTTACAAAAAAGACATTTGCGTTCATGTCTAGCTTCTTCGATACGTTCACGCGCTTGAATTGCAAGTATTTCGTTCTGTAGCCCCATAATGTTAGGAGCAATAATAGATAATTGTTAACAATAAAGTTTATCAATTTATATAACAAGTATTCTGCTAAACAATCAAGCCATGTACAGACCAATTTCTCATGCTGGAGCCTTTCGCGTAATTCTTTATCTTGCGGCATTTTACCGGGGTCAATAAAATATATTTCACCTGGAATGCCCAAAGTTTATTTCAAACACTATATAGAGAACAACCACTCTACACACTTACTATTCTGCATACCTTCTTCTCCGGCTTCCTTTCTCCCGACATTCTCCACACCTTTCTCGGCAACTTTTTTGGCCCAATAGTCTAGATAACTCTCCAGTATCATATAAACATGGTGAAAATTAACAAACTGTAATTTATGCACCAACTTCAAATGATCTACTAGTGCAGTGCTAGTGGTTAATGGTTCTTCCAAGAGACAATCGGGGAACGGACAACGAACAGATAATGTTATGTGATATGGAGGGAGAGAATTCTCTTGAGCATCATTTGTGACAGATTCGTTTTCAGAAGATTCGGATTCGTCTGATGAAGAAAGGTGCCGATTTATATTTGGATCAGACCTATTGGACAGAGAGGTATTCCTTAGTACCGAAAACCCATTATGCTGTAAAGTATCATCATTGGTTCCTTGTTGCGGTTGTTGTTGCTGGTGCCCGCCACCGGAACGCCAAGTATTGCTTCCTCTACCATTTCCTCTACTGGTAGTTGAGAATTGGTTGCTAATGTGCTGCCCGCGCGACTGCCCACGAGTACCGAATCCCGACCGTCCGCGAGCGGTATGGCGCGATCTCACAGTAGTCCATTCGTCCTCATTCATTGCAAATACGAACCATGAATGATTCGGACGAAAATTAGATGTTGGGATCACATGAGATTAAAATGTGTACAATTCATCAAATTTAAAGAAATCTTGCACGTGTTAACCGATGCAAAAAGATATTAGTATTTAATTGTCGTTTAGCCTGGAATTATGAAAATTCGCCAAATGCTGTTTCCTTTGCACAATTATCATTTAATTTAATAGACGAAGAGTTTGTAGATTTCCTCATAAATATTCAAAAAGCACCATGCATAAAATGTTGGATAGAATAGTGATTACGAGGATAAAGAGTTAAAGCATAAAATTTAATGCAATTATGCGATGAAAGTCAGAGTCAAAATACAGTATTGCTTAATTGAAAGTTACTAATTTTTAGCATTTGATTTTAATTTAATTTCTTTACTTAATATTAATTTTTGCGCGTTCAATTAAACGCTTAAATCCATAATTTTAACCAGTAATTAGGATTCAAGCAAACCGAATATTAAGGTGAGTTTGTGTTTACAATACAACCTTGAAATCGTTCGTGTCATCGCATTCACTTCGTTCAGTATTACCCCTAATTCCCGCATAGCCCAAACCTCAAGTATTATTATACAATCAAACGTTTGTAAGAAGCAAACCGCTCTCAACCATACTTTCACACTGGAGGCCTAACAATCTGCAACACATCTGCCACTATATCTCTCACATTACATTCCCAGCCGTCTTCCATTTTAACTCTAAGCAGCGGCAATCGTTTTGTTCCATACATGACACTTCTATCATCCACGGATTCACGAGGAATCAGTCTGTGAGCAAAGACTTTTTCGGCTGTTATAAGAATTAAATCCGGAGTTATAAATGTGCGATCGAATATTACTGCCACAGCTCTGTTAAGATGATCATTGGAAAGAAAACGATCACAAAGTATGATACAGACAAACAAAACGATGGACGAGGATAAAGGTTAATATGCGGCCAAAGATACAAGCTATTAACGAACAATTAACTCACTTAGCAAGCTTTTCAAAATCACGCGAAGTTCTAGCTGTTATTCCTCCCTTGATCAGTCTGTGCGTACGCAAACCGACCACTATATCTCTCATGTATCGTTGTATGTCATTATGGACAGATACTTTATCTATTTTTCTCTCTAGTTCTTTGATTTCCTATATTGAATGTCGGCATTGTTCAGAAAGCGCGAAAGTAGAGTGAAGACGAGAAGAACATAAATGGGGATGTAAACAAAATGTGTACTCTTACCGTCGGTTTGATAGGTTCTCCTTTATACATTCCATTCGCAGGTACTCTCGATGTATCGTTCTCGTATTCGTAACTTATGAAAAACCTGTCAAGCTCCATAATATATCAAAAAGGCACTCATAAATATTCGATCTTCCATTGGATAAATGAATTCTCTGCCTATTTGTTTATACATCTTCAGAATAGCAACTTCATACAGTTATATAGGTATATACAATCTTTCAGTTTTCTTTGCAACACTTACCAACTGACTAGGTAAATTGAGGCGTTCCTCCATAGTTGGTAATAATGCGATTACAATGAAAGGCTTGGGGAGACTATGCGACTCCTTTCGATAACAGAATCGTTTTTTAATTATCGTCTTCATAAAGAATAATAAAGTATAGGGTTAAAAGCAGTAATAACTCCGACGAGAAATATTTGTGCCCTCTTCCATCCAATCGCTCATACGTCCTTCTCTATACTTCTGCTTTACCTCCAACAGGAAAAATTGAACCTCTTCATCTCCCTCGTCTAGTCGCTCTATTATGACTGCCTGTGCTATATGCTTTGCAAACAAGAATGGGGATGGCGGATTACTCCCCCCGGTGGTTACAATGCTGTCATGTCTCCTCCTTGGTATTGTAAAATCCATCGGTGATAATGGTGGCGGCTGGTGCGGTTGACCGGTATAGGAAAGATGATGTGTTGTATAATTGCGTGGAGAAAAATCTGGTCGAAGACTGTACGAGTGAGACGCAAAAGGCGAAGGAGTTAAGGAAGGTATGTAGGGAGTTTCCGAATTGGTAAAGGATGACATTGAGGACGTGGACGAGGATGGTGGAAAGTAATTGTCACGTCGGCGTGCATTTGTCAAGATTGGATTTCTTAATGGATTCGTTTGATCTACAGATTTTATTCTATCTCTTGACTAAACAATATTATCAATATTGGTCATTTGGGAGTTGCAAAAACTGCTAGTGGAGCAAGAAAGATTACTGGAACTCATACCTCGGTAATTTCCTCAATTTCCATTTCCGGCGAATTATAGAACCGATTCTCAATCTCCAGCTGCCTCTCGTTTGCTATTCCCAGAATTTCCATGTTCTCCAACTCCTTACTATCTCTGGATGGTTGATTAGATGCACTAGATACATGAGAATAATTTGATTTTCGCTTGCGTGATCGGCCTTCGTTCTTTCCCTCGTATCCTCTACTTTCTGTATTCAGACTCGTTGAACTCGCAGTTCGGATAGACCGGTAAGATTTCTGCGTGCCCATTCTATGCAGACCACCGTTGTCTTCTACTGAATGTGTAGCGATTGAAGCATCATCACGAGAGCGGGCAAACAGGGAAGAAGTGAAATCTGCTAGCGTTTGGGACGGTTCACAGGTTATGGTAGAACACGTTAGACCAAACACGACCAGGAGGATCTGAAAATGGTAAGTGGACAGGAAAAAGGCTAATTAACAAATGCACTTGTCTTTTCGTAGATTATAAGTGGTTGTCAGTAGCCTTGGTTTAACCTGCTCGGTCATACTTCGTAGATCGTCCAAATCCTCAGATCGTGCAGTAAGAATAAGATGTTTGTTTGTTGATATAAGACATAGCAATATTGCTATAAAGACATCTTCTGACAGACCAGACCGTTTAAGAGCTTGTAGCCGCGACTTTAACCAAAAGTTTTCTGAAGGCATTGACAGCAAAGTATACTAATATCATTAATATTATAGAATTTTGTCTGCGGTCACACAATTAATACAAGTGGAGTGGCAAGAATGCTGATCGACTGTCACGCAATTCATTGTCTATTACATTATTGCGACACTTATTAAGCATAGATTTAAAAATGGCAAAGCAACGTGATTTCACCAGTGAAAGTTCTTACAACTTCATATTAGCTTTAGTAAAAGTGTCGTAAAATTACACGTGTAACATAAATACGCGAACTAACGGTACTTCATATAATCAAAAATCATTGCCAGTATGTGTACTCGATATTAGGTGATTCCGAACGCGATATGAGTATCCCAGAATAATTTCCAAGTTTGACGTAAATAGTCATTCGTATAGTTCTTTACAGAGTCTACGCACAGTATTTGGATTATATTTTCTACCCTAGCTTAAAGGGAAAAGAATTAAACTTCTTGGAACCTACAGGCCATTCTGCGAATGTCAAGTAGCCGGTTATAATTTTTTTACGGCCACCATCCCGATTCTAAGTTATAGTTCTTATTGAAATGAATGTACTTCAGTGGCCTCACGTATATCCTTCTTATAATAATACTGTACATTATTGTCTGCCGTCAATAGATACATTTTTTTTGTTGCTTAGAGCGCGAATGTGAAAATAAGCTTTTTTTTTCAAATTGATTCGGTACTTTGGCCGGTGAGTATTAAATATTGGCTAGCAATAATATTCTTGAGCTAATGGAATATCCGTCTTAATCGACGCGGAGAACTAAACACGAGAATGTTTCTCGGTAAGTTTGGACCAATACAGGGATGTATCATTATTGCTTGTTTTTCAATCCAACAATCCTGTAAAAAGTTCCCTTCCCGTCACAAAACAATTTTAAATCGAAATAATTTAACTTGGGATTAATTTCTTTACCGACTGCACAAATACGAGTATGTGTAAAGAATTCCTGGTTTTTTTTTGATCCCACAGAATTGACAAATCCGCGGTGTATATTTGAAAATAAACATCTCATTATTGAGATAGTCTGTTTCCTTACTGCAATTTCATTCTATGCGTGATTGTCAGAACTATAGACCTGTCAGTAAGGAAAACGTTTGGACTAAAATATTAACATATACTTAAACTGCGTGCCACAATCCACACACATCAGGTCCAGAATGTTAAACCAAAACGCGAGATTCTGCTCTTTGTAATGTCGGAAGGTATACTATTTTTCCAAGAAAGAACAGTTCACGAGCGGATGGCAAAATTCTACAGCGCACTATGTTTACCTCTCCATGGGTGTGATGCAAATCAAATTGTAACAACAATGAACCCAAAGCGTCAATCGATGAACTAGTAGATCCTCTTACACTAGATATCCGCAGATAAGAATCAGTAACATCGTAGATCACCACAGCAATAACTCGTGGACTCGCATTTTGCAGGCAACAATACATTAATAATAGTCATAGAGAATACAAATTGTTCAAACAATAAGATTGTCGTAAACATCAAAATGTTCTTTTGTTTCTGAATTCTTTACATTTATCACATATATAAATAGAATAACTGCTTACGACAAGAAATTAAAATTCAAATTGTTCACCATACCAAGCTAACGAGTCTTGCAACCACTACAATTTAAATCAAATGGTCGGAACCCCATGATTCAGCAATCCTTTTACTTTGGTACGAATTCCAACTTAAGATGTAGTTTTCCTTTTCCTTCGCCCAAATCTGCCCAAAAATCTTCATTGAATTTTCCTGGAAGGATATGGTCCCATAATACCATTTCATAATCCCCAATATCTACGTTTGCAGTTATTCTGTTGTGGTACTTGACTCCAAAGCCTATCACTATGTTAACACCCGTGAGATCCTTTAATATACTTACCTCATCCCTACATAATAAAACTAAAGTTAGTCCCAGTAGCCTGTTAAAAGGATAGCTATGAAAACAATAGTAACAAACCATTTGGGATTTTGCGACTTCTTTATTACTTGTGTTTTGAAAAAATCTTTCTTGTTAACCTTTATGCGCACAAATGGATTACCTGGTCCTATAGTAAGCAAAAAAACAGGAATTAAAATGTTGCGATTATAATATCAACAGTGTCGCTTATCCGCATTATTACCTGCACGTTCGGGAGGTAAATCTTTTGCCTCAATAATATGTATAGTCAGTGTTCCGGGCATACCAACGATTTCTATTCAATGAGCGCATCAAAGCATGAGAAAACAGTTAAGAACGCAAGCCATTAAACTCAAATTAACATACCTCCAGATTGATCAAGGTACATTGAACTGCGTGCACTTGAAACGCCTGCAAAATAACATACCACTCATTCAGATTATACGAGCTATATTTGGGGCATTTATTTATGAGATAAGTAAACTAACTATACCTCCTTGTTGTTGAATGTATGTTGAGCTACGATTGCTCGACATACCTATCGAAATCATAAATATACATTTTAAATGCCCTCGTACTTAATCATTAGATTTTCATGATGACATACCATTCTCTTCATTCTTCTCTGAATTTTGCCTATCAATATTTGGCCTTAATTTATCCTCTAAGTTTTCATCACTCTTCCCTTTCACTTTCTCTTCTTTCACCTTCTCTTCATTCTTATTTAACACAAATTTTGCACCACCGCTTACTAAACCAGCAGCAGCCCCAGCAGCAGTACCAACAGCATTGACACCGGCTTTTCCAACCACACCTCCACCAGTAACCACGCCTCTAACTGAAGTTGACGCAAGCTGGGCAGCACCGCTACCGACATTAGCGGCGACCTTAGCTCCGGCCTTAGCCCCAGCCGCAAAGGAGGACATTCGCGCGCTCTTTGTAACAAATTCGGGGCGAAATAGTAAAACAAGTCGAACACTGCCTTTCCCTCCAGAAATGGGAATTTCACGTTCTATGCCTTCAAGCGCTGGAAGATCTTTAAGATCTATTTGAGCTTTGCCTAGCAACGTAGCACTGGTTATTCGGTTCCAATCAAATACTTCAAAATAGAAATTGGACGCCGTACGCGATTTCTAAATAAAAAAGGTAAATAACGATTAGAAAAGAAAAAGAGTCTTATGTATAAAACACATTACAATTAATTCTTACAATTTGTATTTCAAAACGCTCATCATAAACAGGGTTCAAGTTCTCCTTTACTGTATTCGTCTTGAATATCTTTTCGTTATTATAAGTGAATACTATATAGGGATCACTTGTGCCTGAGCGATCAGCTGCTGGAAGATCTTTGGCGTCTTTGACAGTCACCACCAATAATCCCTGATCTACAACAAAGACCAAATTCGCAAATAAATATTGATACGCGAATTAAATTACTATAATTTGAAAAGAGAGACGTAACTTACTGCTAACACTTTCGCTCGGTTCCAATGGTAAATTGGTTGGTATGTAATCTAATGAAATGTTCAACTTTACATCAGGTGACGTCGAAGATGTTAACCACACACCATCTCCCGATTTTCTCTGTTTGCTTTGTCGTAATAAGCTCTTAACATTCTCCTCATAGACTGCAATTAGCCCGTTAGTGCCACTTTGTTTTAATCTAATCGTCAGTCTGGAAAAATCAAGTTCTTTCACCGCGACGTCGGTTACTAGCAAGAAGAGTACAAAGAATGAGTGATGTTTATCCGAGAGGCATTTAAAAAATCAAACCTTTGCATATCAAAGCATTTCGTTACCAGTTTCCCATATAGGATCAGAAACCTTTAGACTTTCGGTCTTATAGAATGGATATGCTTCACTGTCAATAAGACACTCAACAAACACGTTCTTTTTGTTGACTTTCGCTTGATGTATATTGATTATCAATGAGCCAGATTCTAAGAGAAAAATACATTGATATTATTTAGCATAAAACTAGTTAAAATATCCATCTCCTGCACGTATACATGTATGATAACGTACGGTATGCAAAAATGTCAATGTCCTTCGCAGTCTTGGATGTTTCAACAACAACCTTTTCTTCTCCGCCTTGAAATTTCTTCTCCGTTTTCGTGGATTGTATCAAAGCAGGATGGAATGATGCTTCGTAAAATAGTTCACCTTTTTGTTCCTTGTTGTCAAAGACCAACGGGGCAGAGCTAGTAGTACCCATAAGAGTATGAATCGTTAATAAACTCGTGTGTACAATATTCCCGCATAGTTCTCATATACTCACGTGTCCAAGCTTTTGCTAGCCACATACGTTCCATCGTCTTTCTTATTCACAAGGTCGTTAAGACGTAACTCCGTTCTCCCCAGTCGCCTATCAGATCCTGAGTCCTCAAAGTCCATTACATTAAGAACTATAACTTCTTTATCGGTGTGTACCGGCACATAGTGATATTCATCTTGCCACTCCGGATTTAATTCGTTGCTAATCACTTCCGTTCTACTACGGAACGTTGAACCCAGTGAGACTATAACGTATGGATCTGATCTGCCTGTGGTATACGATCAAGTACATAGATTGGTCCAATGAGAAAATGAATACGACAACGGGTAAACAACCATCACGAATTGACGTGTTTGGACTGACACTTGGCAGTAGGCTCATAACTCACCTCGGAAGTTTTCCAAGTTCTTCAGATCCTTTGCGGATTTTATTTTCAACTTGACTATTCCAATAGCGTTAACTAGAATGCGGAGTATCGATATTAGACGCTACTCGCTCCAATTCATCTCCCCTTCAATAGTCCAATAACTCGATATTTACCATATCCGGCTGGATGTGGAACAGAATCCATTAGAACCGGCATCCATAAACAACCCAATCGTATCTTTCCACTAGCAGCACTCGTGAGATTAAACCAGTCATTTTTCTTCTCAATGCTTTTCATAATTTCAGTTAAATCACCACGCCATACGCCAACGGCGGGATCCTCTGCAAATCCACGTTCATCGCGGATAATTATTCCCAATTGGGCTGCAGCTTTATTTGTTACAAATATTTCAATGTGTTCCTATGGTTGAATGAGGAATAGTATGAGATATAAATTATT